CATTTTCAAACTCTCCACCATGATCACTATGGATGGTCATAATCCACAACCTAGTTTTTTTTTTTAATCTAAGTGAAGAATGATTTAAATTCATCAAATGAATCACTTTATATGACAGAAATCTAATACAAGTGAACCTCAAGTAGTCATTGACTATTACAATTCCAAAGACCTATCACCTTAAGCTTGCAGTGCTAACGAGTCCAAATAAATAGGATTTTTAAAGGTTTAAAGGTATTAATGTCCTTAATAGAATGGAAAGAGGATTTGACTTATTTTCCTAGTTGACAGGGATCACACATGTGGTCCTTAGTGAATTCAAGCTTGGGGATTCCTTTTAGTAAGTCTTTTTAGGTTACTTTTTTAAGTGTTTTCATGCTAGCATGATATAACCTCCTATGCCACAATCAAGACTCATCAGCAATAGTTTTTAAGTAAAATAAAGCAGCACATTCAATATTATTTAAATCAAGCATGTAGGCATTGTTGATCATTTTTTCCTGTAAAATAGTATTATTATTTAAGCTTATAATATAGGTGTTTGATAAAAATTTTATGTTGAAGCCTTTATCACAGAGCTGACTAATACTAAGCAAGTTATATTTCAAGCCATCAACAAGTAAAATATTTTCAATCAAAAGGTTCTTGAAATTTTTTATTATACTTGCGCCCACTACTTTCAGGTGGTGTTGTCTCCAAGAGTGACCTTGCCTCTAGCCCTGACCTCCAGTGAATTGAATTGCTTTGCATCTCCAGTCATATGGCATGAGCATCCGCTGTCCAAGCACCATTTTCTCTCATGAGGTCTTGTGTGAGAGCATACCTACAAAATCATCAAATATTAGATTTAGGAACTCAAACAAGTTTGGATATCTTCTTATGGAAAGAAGAATGTAATGAATATGTATTATGCTATGAATCATGCAATTTGGGTCTCACATCAAATGTGTTTTATGATGAATGGTGCATGTGTGGGAGTGTCCTAGTATGCCACATGAAAAACATCTAACATCAGGAAAATGATTTATTAATATACTCAGGTTATAGTGGCTCTTCCTAGGTTTGAATGGAGCTTGCTGATTTAATGGATTATGAAACTCAAGCATTGTAGGTGGTTTTTTATTTTCTTTGAATTTTCAAAAAATTGAAATTTCTATTTTCAAAGTATGCTCTTTACGATCTAAATCAGTTGCAAGAGTATCTAATTCCTTTTATACAGTTTCTAGCTCAATATGTAAATTTTTTAAGGAATCATGCTCTTCAGTCAATTCAGAATACTTTTTGTTCAAAGCATCAAATTCATCTAATAATATCAAGTTATTGCTATCAAGTGTAAAATGATTTTTAATAAAAACTTCATGTTCTTTTTATAAGTTCATAAATTTCAGTTTCATGCTAGCATAGAATTTTTTAAGCTTTCTATAAGATGAATGAATTTTTCAGAAATATCAAGGGATTAATCGTATATTAATTCACATACATCTTCTTGGTCAGAGTGGCCAAGATGATTATCCGCCATCAAACATAAGTTTGTTGTCTCCTCTTCAGCTTCAATTTCAAAGGAGTCAAATGTAGAATCCACCTAGAAAGCTTTTTGGATCCGTTTCTTGTCCTTCATGAACTTAGGATTTTCTTCAGCCTTCTCCTTGCTTAAATGAGCTTTCAGAGTTAAGCAATCAGCCTTCAAATGCCCTGACTTCTTGCATTCAAAACAGACAACGTTAGAAGAAACTTTAGAATTCTTATGGTTCTTACATTTGTTCTATTTCTGATGATGCTTTTGCTTTTTTCTTAATAAACTCTTGAATTGTCTAGTAATTAAAGCAACGTCATCACTTTTAAAACCAGAAGAATTAGTGTCTGATTCATTAGCCTTCAAGCCTACTGTTTTTTCTTTTTTTTTTCTTATCTACATCAAGCTGCCTTTGGTTCACTTCTTGCTCATAAGCTATTACTGATCCAAGTAAGTTATCGATCGAGTAAACATTTAAATCTTGGAATTCAATAATAACAGTAATATTAGTATCAAAAAAAGAAGGTAAACATCTCAAAATTTTGTTGGCTTTCTCATAGTTAGCTCTCTTCCCAAGGCATGTAGGGAGGTGACTATTTGTGTAAACCTATTATACATTTCAGATATTAACTCAGTAGGTTTCATGCAAAAAAGTTCATAGTCATGAAATACATTATTTAACTTAGATTGCTTAGCTTCACTTGTGTCTTCATAAGTAATGCATAATCTATCCCATATTTTTTTACCAGTTGCACATGTTGAAACACGCATGTAATCTTCTGATTTTAGTGCACAAAAAAACAGTTTAAATATTTTGCATTAAGTTATAGTATGTTCCTATCATCAAAAGTCCATTCAGAAAACGGAAGTTCAGTTTTGATGCCATTTAATTGACGTGTTGGTGCAGATGCCATTTATTTCACGTGTTGGTGCAGAATAACATTTTTTACAAGCATTAACATGCGATAATTTATAGATTGTAAAAAAAGTGGACATGCAATTTTTCTAGAAATCAAAATGTATATTATCAAATAAGGGTAGTCGAGTAATGGAATTCTCATTCGTTGTGTTTCAATTATCAAAGTTAGCTATGAATCAAAATTCAAAAGTTTTCTAAAACTTGATTTTATGAATCCCACTCTGATATCACTTGAAAGTTTGTTAGGATTATTAAGCCCTTGTGAATAAGCCTGAGGCTAACCAAGAGGGGGTGAATTGGTGGTTTTAATATTCTTAAACAAAAAGAAAAATCTTTTTGAAACCTTTTTAAATATTTTATAACAAATAGGATTAACAAAACCAATCAGGAATTTTAAACCATATAATCAACTATAGAAAATTAATATGTGAAAATTAAAGTGCATAAATAAAACAGAAAGAATACTCTAGATTTTTATAGTGATTTGGTCAACTTGATCTACGTCCCACTCCCGGAGGCACCCTCTGAGTATTGCACTAAAATTATAATGTCTCTCATTTTGCTCTCACATCAAGGCAGAGAAGCCCTTACATAATTATTTTCACCGACCTCGGTAAGGCAGAGAACCCAGACTCTTTTTGCTTTTTTCTTGAAGCATGCAGAAAACCCCAACTCTTTTTGCTTCCTCCTGAAACAGGCAGAGAACCTTGATCTAGTGCTGACAAATTTCTCCCAAGAGCCACAAAGGAGTCAAGGATGACGATTGGAGAAGACGACTTGAATTCTTATTTGGAGCAACCTTTGTGAACACGTCACAAACTCTCCCTCGCAAGATTCTCTCTCTCTCTCTCTCTCTCTCTCCCAAGTTCTCATTCTCTAAACTTTCTTAGGTCAAGACAACAACAAAAGATATTATCATAAGAAATTGAAAGATCTTATAAAGAATGCCTTAAAAATTGCCCTAATTTTTAACTTGCCATCAAAGATCATCCATGACGAACGACAGATCATCCAAGATGATTAGTGTATTTCAACCATTCCAACCAGGACGTTCTGGGTTTGTTGTACGATTAGAACACAATATTTATTCTGATCGTCTAGTACGATTTGTTCATCGTCTCGTATGATTAATTCAAAATCATACAATATCGTATAGCAGATAGTTCGTGATGTCCAAGAGATAAATTGGGATGAAATAAAAATATAACTGATCGTCTAAGATGATGCTTGGATCGTCATGTATGATTAGTTCAAAATCAGTGATTATCGTCCAGCAGATTGTTTAGGACATCCATGAGATTCAGGAGAGAACTAAGATTTTTCACACAGATTATCCAGGATGATCATGTGATCAGCCAGGACGATCATGCGATCGACTAGGACGATATGATCGATCAATTTAACCTTAGTTACTTCCCTTAATTTCCTAACTAATTTAGGCAGGATTGTAATGAATCGTCTAGGACGATATGAGATCATCCTGTACGATTAGAACAAAATTCTAAAAATAAAATCTTGCCTAAATGAGTTTGGCCGTTGAGTATTTTTTATTTGAGCATATCGTCCAGGACGATAGGCGTATCGTCCATGATGATTTGCTTAAGCAAGTTTACATGACCCAGATGCCCTAATTAGGGTTTTGTTTTTGACTTATCATCCATGATGATATAAAATCGTCCTGTACGATATGATCAAAAACAAGAAAACTCTAACTCACTAAATTTCTCTCCCTCAATGTGTGTGTGCAAGGTTACTTAGCTTCAGGATCCACTAAAGTACATTAGACTCAAGAAAAGGTAAAAAATGCATTGAAATAGAAATTACATACTCACTCAATCCTAGTCTATATGATCTTGAGCTGATTGACATTCTGAACAAACTTGTGGACCTAAAAAGTTAGTGAGCTAGGCACATAAAACATATATGCATGAATGACAGTAGTCAAGGAACAATAATGTTTGTTACCATCAAAATCATAGTACTTGGGTCCAGATCTGCAACAGGAGTTGCAAACTTGGGCCTAAAACATAAAAAATCAAACTAATTCAATTCAAAGTTTAAGATTATGGATGAGTGTCAACCACTTGGTATTTGTACACAAGATGTATTACCAAAGCCCAATACTCTTATGTGCATTGACAATCTCCCCTAATGTGCGGGGTCTGTACATTAGCTATGACATGATGTGTGCAAAAAAATAGGTTAATCTGAAAATTTGAGAGAAACTGACTGAGCCTATTGATTTGGTTTGGTTTGAAGACTAAATTTTTTTTTCTTTGCCAACTAATTTAGTTTGATTTAGGCTAGTTTTGCAAAATTGAAATAAACCAAACTGAACCAATTAAGCATGATATATGACTATAAATTCCATTCATAAATAATGGGATTTATTTAATTCATCTTTATGTATACAACCCTTTTGGATTCTTCTAGAGTTTTGAGTTAGAGACCATTAACAAAGAGTTTTTAAATTACTTTATTTAATTGTATCGAAGTATCTGACAATTTTTTTTTGTATCAAATTTGTGGAAAATACTTTCTAATGCATAAATAATTTATTCCTCGCAGGATTTCCTCAATCGTTTGTTTAGAGACCATGGAAGCATTGACCTTGAATTGTTAAGAAACGTATGCCCTGATGAAGCCAAGTAAGACCATTTGCTTATTGATTTTATGTTGAGATGACCTACATTATGGATTATTATAATTACTATCCTAAATTTTTGTTCTATAACAAAGGGCGCCATATGTGGCTTTCCCCGGTAAGGTTCAAATTTTGGCTTCGTTTGGGATGGCTTTTTTACTGTTTCTTGAATCAGCTTTCCAGTACAAAAAAATTAATTTTTATACTAAAAAGTTGCTTCTAGAAGCAGTTAAAAAGCCGTCCCAAACAAAGTCTTAATAGAACAATTTAATTTCAAATATGGGTTTTACTCAATATTATAAAGTTCTTTTTCATTTTACTATTAAGGTTGATACCAATGTTGCCCGCATAAGTGTAAGATTAGGATGGTTGCCACTCAAGCCGTTACCAGAGTTCCTTCAACTACATCTCTTAGAACAGTAAGTGTGCTAATCTTTCCTAATGACATATTTTATTGGAGATTATTAATTATCTTTTGGTCCGACTCCAGATTCCATCCCAAAAGTTATTATGAATTTGAAAACATTATTAATTTATTGTCCATTGCAATCAATCTAATCTTTCATGGTATTTTAATAGGTATAATGGATAGCGTGCAGAAATATATTTGGCCACGTTTATGCAAGCTTGATCATCAGGAGTTGCAAATTTCAGAAACCTACTGCAAAAAAAAAAAAAAACTCATTTCCAAAAAATGCTTCTATTGTAGTACATTGATTCAGAAAATGATTTTTAATTCTTTTTGAGAAACTTTGTTTTCTTTTTAATTGGTTCTTGACTATTAGTTTCTTATATAAAGTTAATTATGTATATTAATTTCGGTGCCAATCAAATAAGATATAAACTTATAAAAGGCAGGAATATGGCTAGTAATTCTTTTATAGTTGTGGTGTTTTTACATATCCTAGGGTATTTAGCCTCTTTTAGTTTATACATATCCTTCATCTTAAGCATCTTAGTAGGTTTTAACTCATTCTTTTCGGTGGTCACTATAGTCAAACCTCCCTTCTTCGGCACAATAGGAATGGGGCTAAACCAAGTACAATAAAAATGGGATAAATGATATTTGCATCAAACCGTTTAAGTATTTATTTCTTTATAATCTCTTCCATGGCATGGATTAATCTTCATTATGAATTAGATTTTTGTTGGGAGTCTTCTCCATCAAAATCTTATGTATGCATAATGATGAACTAATCCCCTTAATATCAGCTATTATTGAACCAAATACTTTTTTATATGTTTTAAGAACCCTAATCAACTTCTTTATGATATTCTTCCAACTCAAAAGAAATGATAACAAGTAAGATTAAATCATATCTGGAAAATGCATACTTGAAATGGGCATGTAAGCCTTTAACCTCAAGAACTAGTGCCTTAAAAATAGAAGGTTTCAATAATCTCCTAAGAGATAATATACCTAATAGCTCATACATGTTAATTGTAAATTATGTACCTTTTATTATGTTAAAATTCAATGAAAATGTGACATTTTAATTGTCATTGTAAAGGAAATGTTCAAGAAAAAAATTCACAAGTGTTGAACGAGTGCATTAGCGCCCGTAAATTTCGTGCCACAACGTCATCATCTATAAGGCCCTAGCGCCTAATTCAAACATTACAACGCTGGCCACTCTAGAATTTAAGGCAAATCAGTGCCCTAGAAGAGCCAAGGTCATTTTCACAACACTCCATAGCACTGCAACAATAAAAATTCATGCTGCAGTACTTGAGACTCAAGAATTTGAATGCCATAGCGCTGATCATCCGAGCACCACAATGCTTATTTAAATATTCAAGCATCATTAATCTCAACTTTTATAGCATGATAATGGAGTAGTTGAGAAAATATGTAGCCCCATCAATTCAACCAACAAATATACTGATACAACCAATAGATGCATTAAGTCAATACAGCGCCATAGCGGAGCAAGCTTAATAGTATGAAGGTTCTTGTTCATTTTATAATGCTGCAGCTTCACTGTGTCAAGTGTCGCAATGCTTGAGCCCATTTTTTCACTTGTTACAAATAGTTTTTTAGTTCACTTGTTAGAGAGTTTTGTAACTTTTAGTAGAGTCCTATAATATTTAGTCTAGTTCCTTAATTTACTCTTAGAGTAAAGTTTAAGTGAGGCTAAGTATAAGATACTTTTATTGAAGATCTTAGCTTATCTTGTGTAAGCAATTTTACCATTAGGCGAGCAAAGAGTTTTGAGAAGTCAATTGTACTATCATGATGAAGTTTTTCTTATTGGTTCTTGTGTATCCTTTCTTCTACGGAGAAATGAAAATTAGTTCGCATTCAAATTTATCTATGTTATTAATTTATGAGTTTTTGGCTAATGATATAGACATAATGCAAGTACTAATATAGACTCTAGTACCTTGAATGAAATTATGGATGTTTTAATATTTAGTGTGATATATTACATCGATGGAGGAATATTTGAATAAATGGGAATATTGAATGGAAAGTTAGCATATATAGGCATAACATGCTTAACATTCTAGGTTCTATGGAGATGTTAAAATTATAGGAAGGCCTTAAATGTTCCTTTTCAAATCTATAATCATGATAGAAATATAGGGATGCGTATGCTCTAAACCACATGTAATGTTAAGAGAATCATTGGGAAAATATTTTCATTTACATGTATTACTCCAAAACATATTTATAGATTAATATCACCTCATCTATTTGTATTCTTTGTAATTGGTAGAAACTCAAATGTTTTATTCTTGTTTAGTAGGATAAATTGTGCATCTATAGTAAATAGTACAAGTTGATTGCAATTTAGCATAATATTTCCTCATTGGATTGACACTCCCTCAATCAATTTTTTACTTGATCAACATGTATACTTGTGTATATTGTTGGCAATTTTAATATCAAAGAAAATTTAAGCATATTCATGTTTATATATACACTATTCACCAATGTAAAAATAGCTAGACACATCATACCCACCAAGCTCATCTGTGTTCATGCCCACACCACCCATCAATGCCTCTTCAAAAAAATTCTAGGGGGCCTCACTAACCATATGCATAGTATATTTGTTGATATCTCCTATGTCATCCTCAAGCAATGAAAACTCCACTGTATAATAAATCAACATCTTATCCATAAAATACTCCACACAATCATCCACCAAATCAACTATATAACATAGATCCTCATTATAATCTTTTGGAAAGTATATGGACTTCAAAAAATTAAAAGTTACCACTTGATCTTGCACCCTCATGGTTAAATCCTACCTCTACATCCACTTTAACTAACACATCCTTTATCACCCTCAATATATATAAATCATCTATCTACTAGTTGAAGGGTAATAGTGGTGGGTTAATCTCTCCCAGGTTAAGCATTTTAAAGATATATAGGGGTATGAGATTGATGTTAGCTCCCAAATAACAAAGTACTCACCTATAAATTCTATCCCCTCCAGCACAAGAAATAGTAAAATGATCAGGTTCCTTAAGCTTTTAAAAGAGTTTCTTTTATATAATAGCACTACACTGCTTGGAAAGAGCAACAATCTCATAGTTTCCTAAGTTTCTCTTTTTAATAATGATGAACTTCATGAATTTGGCATAGCTAGGTATTTGATCTAAGGCTTTTGCAAATGGAATATTAATGGTCAATTTTTTAAACATTTCTAGAAATCTATAATTTTTTTATATAGGTTTTGTATCAGAAATCTTTTAGGAAAGGTTAGTGGTGGCCTCTCTACAACATTCTTTATAGTCTTCTTTTCTCTCTTTTAACTTAGGTTATTCTACCAATTTAGAGGGTTATACAAATGCTTCCTCAGGTTTCTCCTCCTCCAGCATATCCTTCTCCCTAAACACCACCTCTAACCCTAATAATGCTTCATACCCTTGTCTTGGGGATTGATAAAAAACTAATAAGAGCACAGTAGTTATCTAATAATTTAAATAATAATTATGAACATATTAATAAACTAAAAGTTTTACAATAGAGTAGTTTGTAGCACCAAAATATGTAGTAGGCACCATAACATGGCTTTCCAGAAAATACTTAAAATATACATAATATCGATCTCTATAACATATAAAAAGTTATACACTAAATTTTTACTAATACAAGGTTATCCTCATTTTTTGGTAATGGAAATAGAAATTTAATTGAAAATTTCAAAAAAAAAATCATATTTTTGAAAATTAAGATTGGCATAATATGATGTACCTCAATCCAAAAAAATTTCCAAATTTGGAATAGCCCAAATTAGCTCAAAATCCCTTATTCCTCTTCCAAATTCATTTCTTTCTCTCCCCTATTTGGATGGCTCACTCAATTAAATGGAATTAATTAGTGATTTTAAAATATATTTAAAGTTTTGTTAATGACTTAGCACTTTGGTGCTACCACTTAGCATTGACGTGCAAGTTTAAAAATCTAAATTCCATAACTTACAACATTGTAATTTCACTCTTTGGTGCCTAGGTGTTGGTACAACACTGAGGTGCCCAAACACTCAACATTTGGGCACTCAAATAGCAACATTTCTCAGATTTTGTCAAAATTCACTCCAGACCCTTAGGACTTATTCTAGAACACATGCAACCATTTTCAAGAAATAAAATAATTTTAAACACATGCAAATGGGTTCAAATACTAGTTATTCAATAGGCTTCTTGACTTCAAATTGGGTCAGATCGATTTGATCAGAATTCTAAATTTGGAGGTCTCATATTGGCTATCTCTAAAGGCCATTAAAAATTATTAGTGGTTATCTTTTTAATTAAAGCATAAGCTTCATAAAAAGGCTTGCACATTAAAGAACCTCCCACAGCATCATCTATGATGGACCTAAGGGAACATACTAACCCATTATAAAAGATTAGGATAATAATCAATCAAGAAAAGCATAATATGGGCATTTCATAAGCAACTTCTTAAACCTTTACTAAGCTTCATAAATATATTCTCCATCTAATTGGTTAAAGATGTGATATCATTCCTATGCTTAGTTATGTTAGATGAATGTAAGTATTTTACTAGGAACTTATGGACCAAATTGTTCCAGGTGGTAATGGAGTTGGGGTTAAGGAATTAAACCACATCTTTACTTTGTCTCTTTATGAAAATGGGAGCAGTTTAAGTCTAACATCATCATCATAGAGTTTGTTATTTTACATATATCACAAAGAAACTAGTAATATGCAAGTTTGGATCTTCTACAAGGGTTCCACCAAACTGTAAGTTTTGTACCATCTGAATGATTGCAAGTTTAAGCTCAAAATTATTAGCTTGGATGTTGGGTCTACAAATTCTCTGATAAATTTTATCTACTAATGGGTTAGCAAAATCCCTAAAAGGTCTGGGCTATAATTCTTATTAATTAGTTGTCCGTTTTTAAATAATTTTATTAATATTTTAGCTTAATCTTTTTTTAATGATTTTTCTTTTATTTATGGGTTAGAAAACACTTCTTAACTGGGTTCTACTGTGCATACAACAATAAACATTATATGCTAATGAAAATCACAACCCAATTTATAACTAACAAAGCAATAATACACTAGTATAACAAATGCAAATAACCATACAACAAAAAAAGGCTAAACAAGAATGAAGAAACAAGTAAATAAAAAATCCTTTAAGTAATATAAAGTATATAGTGAGATATTATCACTATCCCTAGTAAGGTGCAAAAAACTTGATGTGTGTTCACAACCCTAGCACTCTATGTCAATTAAGGGAGTTCACTAGAATCTTCTCAAGTGCATATGCCATGTCAAGTAAAATAATAGTGAGTAAAGTATCATTCCCATGAGGATAATTGT